CTACTCAACTCTTGTTGTAACTGTGGTCAGATACATCCATGCTGGACCATAATTGTGCCCAAATAAAACCATAAAAACTTATTAAAAAGTGGTAGCATGAGGACATTCTTAGAATCCTGAATGACTGGAGTGTGTACTGAAGTGTGTTTTGTATTTATCAGGATTTGAACTTGTCATTTGTTTATCAATGGTTAAACACTAATGGTCAATAGGTGCTGAAATTTTCAAATATGAAGTATATTAAGTGCATTACATCGGAAAAAATATGTTTTCTTTTCCCAATGCATGTGATTTTCATGTCTGAATGTATGATTTCCAGAGGTCAGGGTTCTATGAAAATAATTTTTTCATTTCTTAAGAATTTTTCACATGTTCTGATGTGTTTTAAATTGTCATGTAAGCATCAAACATTGTTATGAAATAACTGAAAAGACCTGAAGTGGCTAAACCTTCCGAGGCCAGTTTCAACTGTGCCCACCCAAGCATCAATAATCGATATGAAACCTCTGAAATGACCTCAAGCGACTGAAACTTTTGAAAGCGGTTGCAGCTGCATCCACCTCTGATGCTTGGATGGGGGGCAGCTGAAACCGTTTTGAGAAGGTTCAATATTTTCATGTAACTTCAGCAGTTTCAGGTCGGGAAACTTAAAACCGTCAAGATGACCTGAAGTGATCGAAGTTTTTGAAACCGCTTTCAAATGCCCTCATCCAAGCTTCCAACACCCGTTTGACACCGAGGTGATGACCTGGAACGACCGAACCTTCAGAAACGGGTTTCAGCTGCCCCCGCTTAAACAATTATTATCGGTCTCAAGCTGTTGAAATGACTCTGTCTGAAACTTCAGAAAGCGGTTTCAACGGTAGCCATCTTTGATGCTTGGATGAGGCAGCTGAAACCGTTTTCATGCCATTTTCACAATTTTAGGTGGGGAGATGTGAAATCGTTGAAATAACCTAGAATTGCTAAAGCTACTGAAACTGCTTTCAGATCCCCCAATCCAAACACCCAACACCCGTCTGAAACCACGGTGATGACCTGAAGTGTTTGAAGCTTCTGAAACCATTTTCAGGTCCCTCCATCCAAACCTACAATACCTGCGTGAAACCGTGGCAACGACCTGAAGTGTTTGAAGCTTTTGGAACCCGTTTAAGTCTCTCTTTCCAAGTGGCCAAGATCGGTCGGAAATGCTGTACCGACCTGAAACCATTGGGAATATAAGGGATCCTGAAAATATATGCATGCGTTAACCATCTCTCGAGATGATGTGTACCATTAAAAAAAAAAAAAAAAAAAAAAAAAACAAGGGCTATTTTAAAATGATTTTGTATCCCATTGGGTCACGACTCACAAGGTAAGGGTTTTTTTTTTTGGTTGATGGGCATTTTCGAGAAACCTCTTTTGCAGAGAAATAAGAACTATGGTCTTCCCTGAGAAGCTAAGACACCCTCATCATTATTGTATCGAGTCTTAAAGATAGCTTGTATACATCCATGGTGAGGTTGCTTTGTGTTCCGGGGTAGATGGTAGTGCAGGGTATAGAATAAAATGAAGAAGTAGCGAGGCCAATCTCCATGCATCCACACTAAGTCTTAAAACGCATGTCAAACAAGCACCTGCATGAACAACTTTTTTTTTTTTTTTTTTTCAAAGTAGCATTTGAAGATGTCTCACCCTAGTTCCTACATTTTTCAAAAATCAAACTTCCACTTCTTTCGGGGATAGAAATGACGGAGGAATAAAAAGGAGGGCCAAAAAAAAGAGGGAAAAGAAGAAGAAGAAGAAGAAGAAGAAGATAAATCATTTTAAGGCCAGTGTGGTTGGGATTTTTGAGATTTTATTTTTGTTAGTTTAAAACCACCGCTACCTCCAAACAACTTTTTTGTCGAGGTGGGAAAAAACTGCCCGCAAACTTTGTCAAAGTGCCAGCGTGATTTTGTTATTTTGTTTTGGTCGGTGCCACTAACCATTTTGGTCCGGGGTCGCCCAACCTTTGAAGAATGTCGTATATGCTAAGCCACCATTTTTTTTCTCTTCTTTTAGAGTCCATTTCTCAGTTTATGCGCGTCATCCAGGTTGTTGTAGAGGCTGGATGCTAGACTTCTAACAGTTCCCTTCGGCAGTCGGCCTTTAGTCTTAAAGAATGTTTCTAGTACGCCTGCGAAACGTAGTGGTGTATTTAAACCACCAGTACCTACCGCTTTTCAAGGAGCATTAAGGGGCAGCGAAGCTGCAATGTCGTTTCAAATGAATATAACATCACTGTGCGGCAGGCCCATTCATCCGAGCGCGGTAGTAATGGCCAGCCATAGTGGTAGGTACTCATTGGAAGGCGCGTGCGAAGCTCTTTGCCAGCCCTTCCCGAGCCCACAACCAAGGCATAGTTTTTTTGGGGGGCGAGCTGCATGACAGGAAATTGTGACGTGTGGTTCTGAGGGCAGGCGTTTTGCGATGTCTCCTACCCTACCCTACCCTACATCATGATATATACAGTCTGTAG